CATGATGGCATTGTCCACTAATTAATTGATACGATTAATTAGACGAAAGAGTAACCCCTACGATGGAATGTTGGCCGCTCGGACGGTTTAGTTTCGATCTGTTGCCAATTGCTAAGTGCCAAATAATATGTATATGTGTTTTTGAGCTGTTATTGCTTCTTTCTGCATGGAAATTATGGAGAATTTTGATCAAAAATTTTTTTAGATCGAATTTTGGTCAGAAGAAAATTTTTTAGTTAGCCTTGGAAGATAATTGAAAATTGTTCTAGAGTAGGATGGCTTGCATGATGCGTTTATTGTTGTACTTATCCAAAAAATTCCGATCAGGAATGAAGAATTTAGATTAAGGGGTGTAATTTTTATAACCTTTATATTTCTGCCACCCGTAGTCGCTATTTAAAATTTATTTTTAAGTTTTTACTGTATTTGATTATATCAGGTAGTGGTTAGGTGGTATTTATTAAATAATAATAATTGTTTTAAAAAAATGAAGTATTATTCGCGGTAGAATTGCAATAATTGTGTGAAAGATAATGACTAAATAATTTATACTGCTTACTCTAGTAGCAGCAATGAAATTAATAATTAAAGTTATATATTTACAATTTTTTAATCAATCTTTAAAGGAATACAGGATATTCTTTAACACTAGATTGCCTAAGGAAGTCATTTTGACTGCTTTTAATTTCAATTAGAAAAACAATGATGTTTATAATGACACAATTTCTTAGAATTTTGTGACTTTTTGTACAGCATATATTTTTTTATTATTAATGTTTACTAATAACTTGTTACGTAACTGCAAATAATATGAAAAATGTTAACAATTAATTTTTAAAAAATTTCTTTACGCATTAGTTATTCTTTCACAATCCATTCATTTTGACTGCTTTTGGACAATATAGGTTACTAATTGTCTAACTATAGGTTACTAATTGTTACTAATTTTCCGTCTTTCTAGTGTTAATACCCACTCATAATGTTTAGTTTCAGAATCAAATTCAAAACGGAAGTATGCACATTAAGCGAGAAATAAACATAAACGCTATAGTAATCTGTCGAATCGCCTTTGAAAGGGAGGGATGAAAAATCTCTCGATCTCTGTTTTTCCGGCAATCAAACAATTTTCGATGTTATCAGTACCACCTTCTTCAGCAGTGATTCTCTAGATTTCAATATCATGTTGTTGTTTTTTTTTCTTCTTACTGAAATATTATTTTGCAACTTCAAATGTATATATTTGGCATGAATTCTCAAAATATTAAGGTTAGTCATTCCAAAACACACTATTTAAATTATTTTTTTTAAAATCCATTCTACATAGCTTAACTTAAAAATAGCTTAACTTTATTTTGACTTAAGAAATATCAGTACTAATGAAATAAGAATAACTTGAAAAATATTCCAGAGAAATAAAAATTCCTTTTACATAGAAGGAGAAAAAAAAACTTTCGAAGAGAAAAGAAAAAGAATGTAAGAGGAGACGCGTTCCGTATGGTGTTCACGTAGTCGGGATCTTTCAAGGCCTTAAAACGTCGTCGGTCTCTGCGTCAACCTAATTATTGGTGTCGTAGCTTGTCCGAATCGCGTTTCCTCACTTTTCCCGAAAAACTTTATCCCGATGTGACGTCACCGATCTTTGTTCTTCAGAAACGTCTTCAGGAATCATCTCCCTGGAGTATGATATTCGATGCCATGTGACAAGAAAGGACTTTTTCAGGGACTAGTGACAAAATGCCCGATTTTCTTGTTCCTGATTCATCTGAGTACCTTCTTGCTGGTGTCTCATCTAGTGTAGACAATCTATCAAGCATTTGCTCATTTGTTTATATAATAAAACTGATGCTTAGGTACAGTAAAGTGACAACGAGCTATTCGGTCTAAGACTTTACAACACTATCCAGTGGCGAAAAGGAAAGTAAATAAATCTACTTTGTAAAAAATGTAAAGTACGAGTTAGGAAAACTGAATTATAAAGACATCATGATTTAGTACAACTCGCACAATGAGTGCCTGATTTAAGATACCTGTATATGCTATGAATACATAAATTGGTGGATTTAAACATCAACTCAAATACTACTTTCTAAAATTGTAATTGAAAATTTAGACTTATTCTTAGGCTAAGTGTGGTGGTAGCTTCACTATTCTTTTATGTTCCATTTAATTCCATTATGTTCCATTATATTTTTTTATGTTCCATTGTTATGTTTCTTCCATTTAATCATTTAAATTATTTTTTTGGGAGAACTATAGTTTCCCTTTATGGAAAGAATATCTTACCAAACTTCAAAGATAATGCAAAATTACTGTTATGCAAACTGGATAAAATCTTGCGATCTCCTTCTTCTTTCTTATACAATGATTTCTGCAAGTTATTCTCACATGAAATGTTTGGGGTAATACAATGATAAACCTCATATTGAGTAGCTCAGTAAATGAAACACTATTTCCTTGTGTAACTGATTTTATCTAATACAAATTCCAAAAACTTGTAAGTACTATGGGTTAATTATTAGTAGTACTAAGGTATAGTATTATGAGTTAATATTAAGGGGAGATATAGAGCCATGTATGAATGCAGTATATTAAGCAAGAATTTCTTCATTTTAACGCTATTTATCACACTATTACATTATATGTACTTACATAGTTACATATAGTGCCTCATTGTGGGTCCCCTAATTGGCTTAAAATAATTTCCTTTAGTGTGGCACTATATTTCCTTGTAATATAATTTAATATTTTAATTATAACGGAAAATAATATTACAAAGAAATATTATAAAATCAAGTTACTTTAGGGTAAAAGTGTGACTATTTACTCCGTAACTCTATAATATTCCAAATCTACAACTACAATTTGTATAATTTGGACAAACCAATAGCGATGAATTTGTAGTAAACAAAACAAAATTAATTCTTGGCAGGAGTAGAAACTGAGAAAATTAGTCACATGTTCATTAGTTTGTTTATATATCTCCACTATATTATTTATTGTAAAAAAAAAGGGAAATTAAGTTAATTTAAATGAAAAATTATTAAACAAAGAATTAGTAAAGGTCACGAAGAAGTATACTATTTTGTGATTAAAACGAAAAACGAACCAGAAAATTAAAAATAAATAAATAAATAAATAAAAACAGCATACCACTTCCCCATACATTGATATCTGTCTAGTCCGAAGGACCACTGATAATTATTTTATAACGGTTAATAATTATTTTATAAGGGATAATTACCTTATAATTATTTTAGAATTTAAATTTTAGTTGTCCCAGTCCAACAGACCACTGTTAATTTTGCGACCTTTACGATTTAGGGAAATCCGTAGTCTTCAGAAAATTTAAGTAATATCATTTTTTGTAAATTTTTTTATTTATTTATTTGTAATTTGTTCTGAGTAGACATACTCAGGATTTAAAATTTAATATTTTATCTGCAAATATATTCATATTTTACACTAATTATTTTCTAAATATTATTCTTTACACTGTTTAGAGCTCTATTCTTTACCTGAGTTGTGTCACTATCTACCTTTACACCTTTCTACGCTTTTAAAAAGAGAGTATTTCTTTTGTTGTCTTTTTAGTTATCTTTAGGTTTGGTCACAAATATTTATTCTCAGGTTTTTAGTACAGGCATCATCAGGATTTAAATTTTAATTTTTTAACTAAAAACATATTCACGTAGTGTACGCTATTTATCTTCTTCCCATTTTTTTTTTTACATTGTCTCTGTGGATTCTCTATCAAGAGTATCAACCCTTTTCCCGCTTTTGAAAAAGCGATCTTTTAGTCAATTTGTGCTGATGCCCCCCTCGGGCAGATTTTATCAATGTGTGTGTGGGGGTAGGAGTGTCACATATGTGGTGTCTTGTGTCCACGGCCAGCTAAAAGCAGTCGCGATGCGATAAGAGGAAAAGGTTATTATTTCTCTCCTGCCGTATTCGCTAATACGGCTCCGAACGGTGATTATTAGATTTTCCCCGAACTCTTTTCCCTCTTGGGTTTTATGTTCTTTGAATAACACACACACACTGACGTCTTCTTCCATGAAAGGGTTAAGTGCTGGAAGGAGTCACTTTGGTATGCATCTGCTGTTGCTAACTTTTCTTTTACAGTATTTTTTTCTTTTTTTTATTCGATTTGGTTTCGAACCTCTATGGGTTCGTGTTTGACAAAGTAGTATTCGGAAGAAATCTAGCTAATTTTTAAAACTTTGTGTTGTGTTTTTAAATGCATTTGTTACACTTTTGGCGAGAAAAAAAATATTTGTGCTTCTAGTTGTCTTATCGATATTCTTTTTTCAGGCAAAAAAATTTTCTCACTCTTGTATTATTTGAATTTGCCTAGTAAACATTTTTGCCTGACAAAAATCTTTACAATTGTATCTTTACATTTATATTGACCTTGCCAAGTTATTTGTTTCCGGATAAATAAATAAAAAATAAATGGAAGTATAAATTTATTGTTAAATTGTATTAACCTTGTCAGATTTTTTATCAGACAAAAAAAAAAAAAATGGTATACTTTTCGGTTAGATTTATAATATCTATTTTTTTAAATTTTTTCATTTAATTTTTATGCGTATTAAAAATAAAAATAAAAAATTAAACAAAAAAGTTGACCGAGGTCTATAGTTCTTGGAGATTTTTCATTTGCGCCCAGTTAATCGAAAAGTACCAACAAAAAAAATCTTTATGCTTTTAATTGTACTTAACTTCGTATTTTTTTTTTTTTTTTTTTTTTTTTAAANACAGTTTAGCAAAAGAAAAAAAAAAAAAAAAAAAGAAATTCTGTACATTTATATTTTATTTACCTTACCAAGATTGTTTTTTCGAAAAAAGTCGTTACACTTACAGTTGTAATAATCTTGTCAATTTATTTTCCAGCATTGTACACAAGTACAATGTCATTATTTTATTTCATTCTAAGCTAAGTTTAGATAAAATGAAAATGGTAGTTTGCTAATGACTTTTTTTTTCTTTTCTTATCATAGGTGATGCGAGTATCGGGTCTGGTGATGGAACGGGTGAGGATGATGATGATGATAGGAGTAAAAAACGTCAAAAGAAAAGAGGCATATTTCCAAAAGTAGCCACAAACATAATGAGGGCATGGCTTTTTCAACATCTAACGGTAAGTACAATACTTTGATTTCATTTGTTCGATGTAAATTGATCTACATTATTATATTTAAAAATGAATTCCCAAATGTTTTTATTTGCAATTTAAAAAAATTTTAAACAGTGCTCTATTTAATAATCTTAGAAAAATGCCTCACTTTTAAAATTCCTACGTATAAATTAAGGTGAATTAATTTGCACGATAATCTGGTTTAACTTGCTGCTATATAGGAAGGGTTCGGGAAAATTGAACGATATTACTGTTTAAAAAATTCCTCCAAAATTTCTAGCAACATGCTAATTTAACAAATATTATTATAATCAAATAGATTACTTATTGAATGTATTTGTATTTTTTTTATACCATATTTAAATTTTAGGAATTAGACCAGATTTTTTATGCGTAAAGAGGGGTCACTATCGTGGCTGTTGTGTTGACGTTGATAATTTACCAGAGAGCTGATTTTATTTTTTGTATCATTATCATTCACACTAATTTTAAAAAAAAGGTTGATTTTATAGAAACTTTGCAGACTGGTATATGTACTGTAACTTACCAGAGCTGCGATGGCTCAGGGGATAGAGCATTCGCCTTCCAATGATGTGAACCGGGTTCGAATCCCAACTACGACTGATCAATGCGAATTCCGCATCCGGCTTGCACCGACCACAGTGCTGATGTAAAATATCCTCAATGTTATCACGGATCATGGGTTCGAGTCCCCTTGCCGTTAGGCTAACCGTGGGAGTATCTCGTTGTCTTCCCCTCCATGTAACGCAAATGCTAGTTAGTTCCATCAAATAGTCCTCCTCGAAGGCAAAATTTCTCCCGATTCTTGATCCAGGAGTTCTCTTGTCTTCTGGATTGGGTTCAAAATTGCAAGACTACGGAGTTGAACAATAGTAGTCGTAAACCCAAAATTGAGTCAGCTGCTCAACGACGGTTATAAAATAAAAAATACCTTACCAGGCTAAAATTTCAAACGAAGGATTGCTATTTGATCATTTGATAAAATCTTATTTGAAAAATGTATTGACAACTTCTCAGAAACTTAAAACTTCTTCCATTTAATTGTATTGATTTCAGATTTCGAGTAGGGGGGGGGGCTCCTACTTACTAAATCTTACGAAATTAAATTATTAAATGAAGATAGTCGATATCTTGTTTGCATATCTATAGACAAGTTTTCGACATCTTAAAGCTTCCTCCATATTGACTTAGAATTATAGTGGAATAAAAACAAAAAAGGAGAAGTTTATTAAATTATCGCCTACAGAAATGCAATTGAAATGCTACGAAATGCCATCTTTTTTTTTCCTTTTTTTTTGGACTACTACTCTCTATGTCTTACTAAACCAAATTTTCAAATGAACGGCTCCTACTTGGGGATCTAACAATATTTTGTTATTGAAGATTTTCCAATCACATATAATAACATTTATATTATAACAGTGCCTTCATTAAAAAAAAGAAAAACGGGAGAAAAAAAAAACATATAAGCCTCGAACCACTCCGAAATGACATCCTTTTTAGACTCTAATACTTTCTCCTACTACTCCTTTAGAAATTCGCATCAAAAACAGCTGTTGTTGGAAACTTTGGAGTCAACTTGGGGAAAACCTTAATGAAGTAAAGCCCTCGCGTTTATGAGGGTGGGAAAAGGGGAGGTCAACCTTTTCAGAGTTCTATTTCGGGCTGCCTTTTGTTGTAGAGAACGACACAGCATGGGCGAAAGGAGGAGCAAACGAATATCGTTTTGTCGCACTCCCCCCCCTCCCTCACAGAAGCTGACCTGTGCAATGGTGGGAGGGTTTCGTCAGCTGGCAAGAACAGCTTGCCTTCATTGACTCCAAATTCGTGTGGCGTTTGTATAGCAGGACTATCTATGAGCTTTCTATAGATGCGTCCCATCCCCCTCTTCTATACGACCATTCTCTCTGTTCTTGTTTTCTATATTTATATGTTATTTCATCTGCAGAGAAAAAGATGTGTTAAAACTCTTGTGAAACAGCTGATATCATTAAGAACTCTGCTGGAGAGAGGCATTGCATGCTAAGGGAAAATTTGTTCGCTTTTATGTATGGCGGCCTTATTGTAAAACAATGATGCATAATTGCATTCATATGGAAAAGTTTGTTCCATTTTAAATATAGTGACCTTTATTGTATTTCAGTGATAATTGCGCACATGCCAAAAAATTACTTGCAGGCCTTTTTTTTTCTTTGCAAAATAACGATAATTTCATTCACAGAGAAACATTGTTTGCTTCTAGATATGAAGGCCTAATTTTAGCACAATTTTAATAGCATTCATAGAGAAAGTTTGTTTGCTTCTAGATATGGGGGCCTTATTTTAACGCAATTATAGTAGCATTCATAGACAAAATTTTTCTGCTTCTCTGGATATGGAGGCCTTATATTAAAGAATTCCTGAAGATATTTATTTTAAGGGAGTTTATAGTTGCATTCATAGGGAAAGTTTGTTCGCATCTTAATATGGATTTTAAGACAATTAGAGTTGCATTCAAAAAGAAAGTTTATTTGCTTCTAGATTGAGAGACCTTATTTTAAGACATTCATAGTTGTATTCATAGGGAAAGTAAAGAAGAGAAAAGAAAATTTCTTTGCTTCTCTAGATATAGAAGCCTTATTTTAAGAGCATTCGTAAATAATAAAAAAATATTAATTTTCTTCTCTAGATATAAAGGCTTTCTTTTAAGAGCACTCGTAGAAAAATTTATATTATGAGCATTATAGAGAAAGTTTCTTTGCTTCTAGATATGGTGGTCTTATTTTAAGATAATTATAGTTATATTCATAAAGAAAGTTTGCTTCTAGATATGGAGGTCTTATTTTAAGACAATTATAGTTTCATAGAGAAGGTTTGCGTGGTTCTAGATAAGGAGGCCTTATTTTAAGATAATTATAGTTATATTCATAGAGAAAGTTTGCTTCTAGATATGGAGTTCTTATATTAAGACAATTCTAATTGCATTCACAAAGAAGGTTTGTGTGCTTCTAGATATGGAGACATTGTTTAAAGAAAATTATAGTTGCATTGATAGAGAAGGTTTGTTTGCTTCCAGATATAGAAGCCTTATTTCAAAACGATGATAATTGCATTCATAGAGTAAGAGTTTTATTTTTGATATGGAGATCTTATTTTAAATAAATAATAATAGCAGTCATAAAGTAAATGTGTTTGCTTTTTTATAAAGAAGTCTTATATTAAAACAATATTAATATCCATATAGTAAATTTGTTTGCTTTTTGATATAGGGGTTTTAAAACAATAATTTTTGACTTTTGTATATGAAGGCCTTATTGTAAAACAGTGAAAAGCCACGTTTTTAAGCTTCCTGAAATCCCTGCTTTATAAGTTTCTGACAAAAGAAAATTTGGGTCACAAAAATATAAATAAGAGAATATAAATAATTTTTAATTTCCATAAATAAAAATTAATCCTTTTTCAATAAAATCTCCATATGTATGAAACTATATCAGAAACAAAAACGTGTGTGGTTTATTATTATTTTTTTTTAAATCATATAAGTCTATGCTAAAAGTGTAAATAAAATACATTTATAGTTTACTATTATTGCCAAAACAGACACATGCCGTTTTAAATACTCCCTTTGAAACTTTCCTTCAGGGGCAACGGGTCACATGACCGTGAGCTGCCTCAGAAATCTTTATATACTCCACTTCAGAGATAGTTTAAGGCATCATTTGAACAACTCAACTTTCATATTACTTTTTGCATTTGTCACAAAATAGACGATTAAATCTCTCGGGTCTTTAAACACTTCATCCTACATTCACTTAAGATTTATTTTTCATTTTTCAATAACTTATTTTAGATATTTAAAATTAATGCAAACACATAATTAGTATGAAATATAAAACTGCGGAACACCTTTTTTCTCAAACAGAAATTTTTTGACCTGACCGCACATTTTTCCGGTGACCTCGACCAACTATTTAAATGTCCAACATTCTTAGTAATAAAGGCTTTAAAAAAAGGAGGTTTCCTATTTTAAAATGTTGACCTAAATACCGCTTCAAGGGTTTCATATCGAAATCAAAAACTTCAACTGCAAAATAATTAGAATTTAGAACAAATATTCTTAATATTTTGGTTTCTAAATGAAAAAGGGCAAGTCTATATTGAAAAAAAAAAAAAAAANAAAAAAAAAAAAAAAAAAAAAAAAAAAAAAAAAAAAAAAAAACGATCAAATGATTGGATGTTTGGATCACACAAACACCCCTTTATGTAGTGTCAACTTTTTCTCTACGTCATCTCAGTGGGCAAGGGTAGAGGGGTATGAGGATGATATTGAGAGAGAGGGTTGAAGTGATCTTCAAGCCCCTCTGGCAGATCCCTCTCATTTCAACCTCTCAACCAGTGTCGAGTCCACTTCAAGTTAGGCATCTCAATCAAATATTGAACGATCCTGGTCCTTCAACGTTCCCCCATCCCTATATCAGTGATGCAACTAATTATAATTCTTACATTTACCTTAGCTTAACTCGCAATTTGTTATCTTTATTTATTTGTAAAACAAACGAAATTGAACCAAATATTCTTAATTTATCATAATACTTTTATTTATTTTGAAGTCGGGATGGTTCAGGGTGCAGCACGCTCATCTCCCGTAGAGGAAAGTCAGGTGCGAATCTTAAGAGGTAGATCGATTTTTATACGTATTGCTCTCGACTCGCTGCATCCCTTGCTGTCGATTTAACCGTGGGTGATTTTCATGGTTTTGCTCATCATATAACGCAAATGGGAGTGGGCTGTGTCAAAAACGTCTTACAGAGGCGAGATTTTTTTTCGAATACTTAATCTAAGAGTTCTCTTGTCTTTCGAGTTAGGTTCATAATTTCATTCTATGGTCATCGATAGCCACAAATTTCATTCGAGGAGCCGCGATGGCTCAGGCACGTTCGTCTTCCAATGAGGTGAACGGGTTCGAATCCCAACGGTGGCTGGTAGATACGAATTCCGCATCC